TTTTACCCTTTTTTCGAAAGGTAATCATCCTTCAGATTTAAATACGCTTGAAAAGAATTAAAGATGATAGTTAATCAAGTAACTTTGAAAATTAAATAAATACTAATTACCAAATAAAATTTCGTCAACTAATTTCATTTGCGCTAACGATTCCCTCTCCCATCGCCCGTCCCAATTGTAGTGTTGCAAAAACTCATCCGTAAACAACTTACGAATCACGTCGTTTAGGCATCCCGACGGCCCCTTCAATTTATAAATATAGGTTGACTAATTCGAATAATAAATAAAGAGCATTAAATATGAACATATATTAGCGTGAAATAAATTACCAGTGCCTGTCTATATTCGGCGTTACTAATTTTTGCTTCCATTTGAATCGAAGTTTCCTTAGAATTGAGATGGAGTAGAGAAGAAATTTCGCGAATGTTTTCGTCCTCAGTTTCTCCGGTCATATAACAAACCGACTGCTGAACCTTTTTCAGCATCACTTTACATTCCCTAATAAGTTGGTTTTGGGCCAACATGTCACTCCGTTCCACAATCTATTAAGATAAAGAGATAACTTTAATAGTTTTAATATTTATCTATTTTAATTATTCGGATATAATGTCATGGACAAAACTTTTTAATCGGAATTTTTAGAAAATTTTCGAGTATGCAGTTTTGTAGCCCTTTCCAATTTAGTAATTGTGCAAGTTCTAAAGGCATAAATTACAGTTTTTCTTAAATTCTTATAAACTTGAAAAAGGCTTGAAACATTTATTTAAGTGGTTTTGGTTAGAGAATGAATAGAATTTTATTTGAAAAAAATTAATTTAAAAAAATTGGACATGCAAAACTTCGGAAAAATTTTAAAAAGTACCGGTGCCTAACACTTTTGTCCATGAGTATAGTATATTTACGTTTGTAGCAAGTATCTTCTCTATGGTCATAATCTTTGTTTCCATTTTACCCATACGTTCCTCCACTGCATTAAGTTTTTGACAAATATTTGTTACCAGTTTAAGCACTTCTGAAATGATATCCATATTTGAAGAATATTTACAATGTTCTTCATGAAAAATCTTGTTCGTTAATTCAATTCGTTAATTAATCTTGCATTTGCATATTTCGGTGCATTTGTAAATTCACAACAATAAAATGCGGTTGGTATGGTGGCAAGTATAAACTATGCAAATGCAATTCCAACTGCAAATCCAATACTATTTCCACAAAATCATGAACAGCTTTAAATAAAAAAATTCATTGTATACCATTTTTCTCAGTGTGTGGTCTTTTAGATGTGGAAGGGCCCTGTGAGTCGTTATATGAGTTGCACGTTTGCCACCTCTTTTGGACAATGCGCTGGTCTGTAAGGAACAAGTACATTAAAGAAGAAACGCTAGTAAATTTCAGTGTTGCCATTTTAGCCGTTTTCCGGCTAGATTTAGCCGGATGCGATAGCAAACAGCCGGAGAAATTTCGATTTAGCCGGCAGCCGATTTGTTAGCCGTTTTGCAGAAAAAAATTAGCCGTTTTTAGCCGATTTTGCTATTTGCCTTGTTTTTTTAAATTTCAAATATGTATATATGTTTCCATTTTTGACTAAGCGACCTAAAATCTGTTAGAAATGGCTACTAGCCTTATCGTGGAGAAAATTTTCATGTCAGGCAGGATTGTATGAAATTGGGCCGATTTCGCTTATTTTTATTTTAAACGAAGAAGGGATTTTCTTCATAAAATGTTTGTTATAAATGTCTTAATTTTAAGTGTGAAGTTTTATTCGCAAACTTAGAAAATAAGAAATTGTTTCACTGTTAAGACTCTTTAGATGCGTTTGTGTTTGTAGATTGTGCCAACAAACAGAATAAATATTACATGTGGATATTTTCTTCCCAGATAGCGCATATTCAATTCTGCCTAAATTAAAAAACATAATTTTTGCCCACTCCCAAAGGTTTAAGGTAATGGAAAAATTGATATTTGCAAGCACTATGTACACATATGTATTTTTTTAAACAAATGTTTTTGCTGAGAACTTATTCATATTCCAAAAACAGAATGCCAACTTGAATTAAAGGAACCAACGCTGAAGTGAGTCAAAATGAAAATAAAAGAGCACAAATTTTTATGTAAAGCAAAACTCGCTGGGAATCCTTCGAGACATCTTCCGGCCATATGACCGGTCATCTAAATGGGAGATCTGCAGTCTTTTAGCATCATATTTTACATAAGAATTGAAGGGATTTCTGAAAAATCTGGCCAGTTCTTTTAGTTAACTGTGATTTTGCATCCCTTGTCAACATATGGCCTCGGTTGAAGTTAACTTAAAGTCGTTGTTTTACTGCCTTAAAATTGGAGGGAAATTTTTACAGCGTTTTTATGTGTATTGGTTTCTATTTGAGTGTATTGAGAATCGGTCAGTCTGAAAAGGCCTCGTAGGGAAGATAATAGGATTGTTCGTCGAAAATCCGGCGAGAATTATCACTCAAAATATCAGATAGTAATAGTAATAAATATTTTTTTTTCCGAGTACCTTTCAAATCATTGGAATTAACTAAATTAATTAAGTAAACAAGTATTAACTTACATTTTTCTTTTAAAATAGCTCCAGTTTGTAAATTTTTAAATTTAACGAACTTGTTTATTCAAATTATCGTCGACAAAAAATCCAACCATGTGCCACAATCATATCTTTTTCCTAATTGCAAATTCTTGCTGGCAAAATTTTTTCCGGCTCGAATTTGTAACTTCTCTCCAAGAAATAGTCTTTTTACTCGTGATTTATTTAAATAAAACATGTGAAATTTAGTTGAAACATTTTAGCCGGTTTTAGCCGGTTTTATTTGCCAATTTAGCCGGTTCATCCAAAAAGTTCTGGCAACACTGGTAAATTTATCTCTTACCTTCTCCTTTGGGAGTTGACATCACAGAAGGCTCAAAAATATTATTTACAGAATCCATTATTTGTGTACTATATATGTAGCTTTATTTGTTAAAATTTTTAATATTACATACTTGTATACATTTATATGCAAACGGAATGCGTTATTAATTTGAAAAATCATTAAAAAGGTTATGTAAAAGAGGTATCAGAATAAACTTTGTTTGATGAGGAATACAAAAGGATTTATATATTATATCTTCTTTGTTGACTGAAACACTTTCGGAGCTAATTTCGCTACTTAACAGTACGCCTAGTCCAAGCGAGGATTCAAGTGGGACAGTAAAAAAATTTTCTGTTTTATTAAATACTAAACATGTGTATACTTCAGTGTCAGACTTCTTTTCGGTGGAAATTACCTTTAAGGCTCCTAGTTTTTTACTAAAACAGAAAGAATCCTTTTCTTTTTTTGGGTCTATACTGAATGAGCCTATTTTTGATTCCTTGAAACAATTTAAATTGTCTGCCTGCCTTTCTTTCAGCCTTAAATGTAGCTGCTGCAAAATTTTATTCGGTTTCCTAATTAATTTTTTTTAAATATTGCATATAGTTCTCAAATCGATATGCAGAGCAACTATCGAGTGGGCCATATTGTTTTGCGCAGTGTGATAAATGTAATAGCCCATGAACATTAAAACTGACCAAGTGGTCACCATAAATATTTCCAAAGTAGTGGACGAATTCCTGTAATATGTTCTGGGCAATATCCGCTTCAATTCTGTACGACTTTTCGTTTGTTAGTAGTCGAACCCCACAACGAAGCAGCAAAAAGTGATAATATCGATCACTTTCAACACAGTCTTTTAATACGAAAATCCCAGTATACAGCAAAAATTGCCTAAACTCGGTCGCTTTCCAATTACTAATTTCATTAAAATTTCTGGAAATTCTGCCTAATTCTGTTGGTACAAAATTGCTTAGAAAATTAATTTTCGAATTCATTTCTACAACATTTTCTTTATTTATTAGCAATGGAAGTCACTTCTTCATCACACCTAAATCGACCAGGTGCATCACATCCAGTGGAAACTGGGAAACCATCCCGAATTTAGAAAGCTCTAAAATACTACAATTATTTCTACACTATGATGAGATAAGTCCGCGCGGGAGCTAAACGCTGTGTCTGTTCTTAAATTATGGATCTCTTTAGAAAAACAAACTCTGTTTTGGATATATTTGCCTTGATGGCAGCATTTTGGACATCCATTTTTGCTATTGAAGTATTGTGTACCTGTTAACAAAAGACCTGGCCGGAGAGTCACATGTGAATACGCGAACATTAAACTTTTTTGGAATGGAGCTTGAGCCAACTTTTAATCCTTCTTCTCTTAAAAAACGACCTCTTCACAAAATTCTTTTAAAAATTCGTTTACACTTTTTGGCTTACTCATTCCTGAAAAACAAACAATCATAAATGGGCTCTGCTTTGGAAATCAAACTATCGCTCCAAGTATTGGCCATAAAATTCGGTTTGAACTATCAAACAATTTAAGCCCGTCGATTCCTACATCTATTAATATTTCCGATACTGATTCTAAGAAGCTAAAAGAACTTGATTTAAAATGTGTTTGAATACCTAAATAAACGAATTCACCTCCCGGAATTGATTTTATTTGAACTTTCTCTCCACATGTTCCTAAAAGCGCTTTAGCTGACATAGGTATATCTTTAATACCTATTTTAATCAAGGTTTGCAGCAAATCGCTTAGGGCGTTTTGGGGTATATTATTTCTTATGGCCCAAGCTTTTAGTTCACTACATTTATCACTATTAACTGATCGGGAGTCATTTGTATCATTTACGAATTCTTCTGAAGTGTCACTACTAGTTTCGTCCTGAAAATCTAAACTATTCGCCACTTCATCAGAAACAAGTGGGCGCGTTTCCTCACAATTGATCACAAGAACATGAGGGAGCACTAGAGGAAATGTTTAGCGAGCGTTTGATAAATGAGTATTTCCTGGGAATCATGCCCCAGTAAGTTCCTTTAATAAATTCGTGAATTCTTATTAATATATGCATATACGTCTGTAAGTAAAAAAAGTTTAATTGCTTTAAGATTAATTAAATTGTAAAATTGCTTAGCTTCATTACCCAATTTGCCAAACCACACATATTGACAAGTTTTAACATTAAATTTTTCGTATTAAGTTTTATTTTTTTATAAAAATTTAGTTCATTCTTTTAAAAAAACTAAGTACATATATAAGTCCAATTTAAAATTGTGTGCAATATTTAAAAAAATCAGCAAGCTTTCCTAAAAACATCATAAAAACATCGATGTTTTAATTCGATACATTCAACTTTCAATCGATGTAATTTTTTGAAATATCGATTCTTCAAACATCGATAGTCTCATTATGATTTACATTCCTATTAAAATATTTGATTGAGTTTCTGGTAGTCGCGTCTTGTAGGGATGTGTTTGGAAAATAAAAAAAATGCCCGCCTCTGGTTTAGATGTATATGCATGGTGCCACAGAGCGTATACGTAACATACGCAACTACTATACATAGCGTTGCCAGAAGAGAAATTTCTCCCGTTTTGCGGGAATTTTGAACAAAAAAGGGATGACGGGAATAATGGTCGTGAAAACGGGGAAAATCACATACGCCATTCCCATAAATATTACAATACTATTAGGCTAAAATAGTGGGCGATACATTCATGGGAAAGCTGTATGGAATTTAAAGTTTAGTTACGCGAAGAATCTCGTCCGTCAGCATC